TGCCACCTCTCAGCCCAGCTCTGCAGCTTATCTATGTCCCTCTGTAATCTGCAACATCCTTCTGCACTATCCACAACTCCACCGACTTTGGTGTCATCCGCAAATTTACTAACCCATCCTTCTATGCCCTCATCCAGGTCATTTATAAAAATGACAAACAGCAGTGGCCCCAAAACAGATCCTTGAGGTACACCACTCGTAACTGAACTCCAGGATGAACATTTCCCATCAACCACCACCCTCTGTCTTCTTACAGCTAGCCAATTTCTGATCCAAACCGCTAAATCACCCTCAATCCCATGCCCCGTAAACCCGAAACGTCGACTCCCTGATGCTGCCTGACCTACTGTGTTCCTCCAGTTCCACACTGTAAGAACAAGACTGTACAGATTTAAAAAATGAAATGCAAACACACCAAGTGTGATGTGAGTAAAAAACTTTTACACACAGTGACTGATGATACCTTGTATAAATTCAGAATCTAGTATTGCTGAGAAAATTTGTCAAAGCTTTTCAATTAGCTCTCATCTGGACATTTGGCAAGAATATCACACAACAAATTGTAGGAGCGTGGAATGCAGTGCCTGTAAGAGTGATGGCGGCAGGTTCAATACAGGCTTTCAAGAGGAGAGTGGGTGAAACAATGTGTCAGGTTACAGGGAAATACTGGAGAATGGCATTAAGACACAATGCTTAGAGAGTCGGTGCAGAAGGAATGGACCAAATGGCCTCCTTCAGTGCAGGGCCTATTCTGTGATTGGGTGACTGTGCCTTACCTGTACAACTCTTCCGGTCACCCAGCAGTTTCCAGCCAAGGTGGCAGGAACACTCCACCTGTCCATCCACTCGCTCTGTGCAGACATGTTCGCAGCCACCATTCTGCATCTTACAAGAGGTGATGTCTGCAACACCAAAACAACAGGCTCAGTACTATCAGTCATGGCCGATTTCTCAATCAGAAAATCACAGGGTAAAGCATCAGGAATGCAGCAGTTCAGGAGCAATGGGTGTTTTATACAGAGTAACAGACATTGGGAGTTACAGACAGGAAGCTAATCAACACATAGTACAGGACTCAGTTCTGCTGGAGAAGGCTGATAGTGTGACTGTGGCGGTATATGGGTGTACGGTGTATAGAGTGCAGAGTTACAGCATGTGGGGATACACAATAGGACTGGAGAGTATGAGGATGTACAGCAGGGGGTGTTCTTGGTACGGTTATCTCGTAGATAGGAGTAGAGTATATGTGCACAATGTGTTTATACATTATGTGTCAGTACAGACTGTAAATTATGGTGAAGTGTGTGTGGGGTACAAGATGTGTGGGAGTACAGTGCGTGTGGGGTACAGTGCGTGTGGGATACTGTGTGGGAGTACAGTGTGTTTGGGATACAGTGTATTGGGTACAATGTGTGGGGTACAGTGTGTGTGGGATACAGTGTATGGGGTACAGTGTGTGGGGTGCAGTGTGTGTGGGGTGCAGGGTGTGGGTGTACAATGTGTGGGTGTACAGTGTGTGGGGTGGTGTGTGTGTGTGGGACAAAGTGTGTGTGCGTGTACAGTGTGTGGGTGCATTGTGTGATACAGTGTGTGGGTACAGTGTGTAATAGTGTGCGGGTACACTGTGTGTGGAGTGCAGTGTGTGGGGTGCAGTGTGTGTGGGATACAGTGCGTATACAGTGTATGGGGTGCAATGTGTGGGGTGCAGTGTGTGTGGGGTACCGTGTGTGGGTGTACAGTGTGTGTAGGGTACAGTGTGTGTAGGGTACAGTGTGTGTGTGTACAGTGTGTAGGGTGGTGTGTGTGTGTACAGTGTGTGGGTGCATTGTGTGGGTACAGTGTGTGGGTGTATAGTGTGTGGGTATAGTGTGCGTGGGGTACAATGTGTGTGGGTACAATGTGTAGGATACAGTGTGTGTGGGATACAGTGTGAATGGGGTGCAGTGTGTGTGGGTACAGTGTGTGTGAGATACAGTGTGTGTGGGTACAGTGTGTGTGAGATACAGTGTGTGGGTGCACTGCTTGTGGGTGTGAAGTCGATATGAGTGTTACTCACTGACACAGGTTCTTTTGTCCTTGCCCAGCGCTAGTCCAATAGGGCACCCACAGACATGACCTCCATTTCTGTTGGTGCAGGAGTGGGAACAGCGGCCATTATCAATCTTACACTCATCAATATCTGAGAACAATGAAAGGAATAGTTAGGCCGACACTCTGGAACAGTGCGTTTACTTGACACCCAGCGTGGATCAGTAACTGGACTGGACCAGCCATCAACACTGTCTCCCCAGAACCTGTCCACTGCCCACAAAGCACAAGTCAGGAGTGTGTTATGATGCTCGTACACGCCTTGCACACATCACAGGAATACTTCAAAAGTGACAAGTTTCTCAGAGACTGACAGAAAGTACACTTTAAAGATCTCTACTTTTTTCTATCAGCTAACCAATAACAAAACCCCTGTCACCAAGCACCATTTTTCTGGCAGATGTGCATGTTCATGAGAAGTCATTCACTGTTCCTCCCAGATCTCAGGCAGCTTCACATCTGCTGCCAAATCAGGTCAAAAACTCCAGGGGCATTTCCACTCAGACTGACTCTGCCAAAAGAGATTTTCACCAGTAAGGTCCATTTTGCTCCATCTTTCTCCAAAAGACCTATCAGTTCTATCCCTTCATTTTGGACTGAACATAACTTCACATGAGTCCTACACAAACACAACAAACAAACTAGGAGCAGGAGTAGGCCATTCAGCCCCTCCTGTCTGCTTCTTTATACACTAACATTGATGGGCTTGTGTTTCAGAAGAGGTGATGGCCTACTGGTATTATCATTCAACCATTCATCGGGGACCTGGATTTGAATCCTGCTTTGACAGATAACGAACTGTGAATTCAATAAATATTGGGAATTAATATGATAATGACCAGGATACTGTTGCCAACTGACATAAAAATGCTAAAAGAACTGCGCATGCTGTAAATTAGGAACAAAAGCAGAAGTTGCTGGAAAAGCTCAGCAGGTCTGGCAGCATCTGTAAAGAAAAAGGTCAGAGTTAATGTTTTGGGTCCGGTGACCCTTCCTCAGAACTTCTGCAATATAAACAGACTTTTTCCCAGCTACCATCTGTTCTGAGGAAGGGTCACTGGACCCAAAACATTAACTCTGACTTTTTTCTTCACAGATGCTGCCAGATCTGCTCAGCTTTTCCAGCAACTTCTGTTTTTGTTCTTGACATAGAAGTGCATCTGGTTCACTAATGTCCCTGCCATATTTACCAGGTCTGGGCTATATGTGACTCCAGGCACACAGCTATGTGGGTGACTCTTAACTGCCCACTTGGCAGTTAGGGATGGGCAGTAAATACTGGCCTGGCCAATGACACCCTCATCCCATGAATGAATGAAAACTAACTACTCCCAATTACCCTGATTCCCTGCCAGACAGGAATTTATCCACCTCAGTGTTGAAAAAAAACAACTCCACCCGCACTGCCTCCTGAGGCAGAGTCCCAAAGCATCACAACCTTCCCAGAGGGAAAATTTCTCCTTATCTCTGCCCTAAAAGGGTGACCCCTCATTTCAAACAGAGCCTCCACAGCAAGAGTGCATACCCTGCCGACATCCACCTGGTCAAGACCATTCACAATCTTACACTTCAAATCAAGTCATTCCTCACTCTTTCAAACGCCAGTGGAAAGAAGTCCAGTCTGTCTAACCTTTCCTCATAAGACAACCTGCTCATTCCAGATATTAATCTGTAAACCTCCTCTGAACTGCCTCCAGTGCAGTTACGTCCTTTCTTAAATAAGGAGACCGAAACAGCACACAGTGTGACATAGGCTCAACCATGTATAACTGAAGGACAACATCCATATATTTACATTCAATTCCTTTGGTGATAAAGAACAGCATTCCATTCACCTTCATGATAACATGCTGTACCTGCATATTTATTAAAGGAAGATAGTTGCAGCTCTTGGAGGCCCAACCATAAAACAGAGAACATAGAACAGTACAGCACAGGAAAGGCCCTTTTGCCCGCGATGTTGTGCCGAACTTTTACCCTAATCCTAAGGTCTATCTAACCTCCACCCCTACCTTATACTATCATCCATATGCCTATCTAATAGCCACCTAAATGCCCCCAATAAGGCCGACTCCACTACCCTCTCCGGCAATGCATTCCATGCCCCGACCACTCTCTGAGTAAAGAACCTACCTCTGATGCCTCCCCTATATCTACTTCTACTCACTTTAAAACTATGCCCCCTCGTAATAGCTACCTCCACCCTAGGAAAAAGTCTCTGGCTGTCTACTCTATCTATACCACCTCTGATCATTTTGTACACCTCTATCAAGTCACCTCTCATCCTTCGTCGTTCTAAAGAGAAAAGCCCTAGCTCTCTCAACATTTCCTCGTAAGATCTTCCCTCCATTCCACACAACATCCTGGTAAATCTCCTCCGCACCTTTTCCAACGCTTCCACATCTTTCCTGTAATGAGGCGACCAGAACTGGACACAATACTCCAGATGTGGTCGAACCAGGCTTTTATATGGCTGGAGCCTAACTTCACGGCTCTTGAACTCAATCCCTCTATTAATGAAAGCTAACACACCATACGTCTTCTTTACAACTCTATAAACCTGGGTGGCAGCTTTCAGGGAACTGTGAACATGAACCCCAAGATCCCTCTGCTCCTCCACACTGCCAAGAATCTTTCCGTTAACCCTGTATTCTGCTTTTAAGTTTGTCCTTCCAAAATGAATCACCTCACACTTTTCAGGGTTAAACTCCATCTGCCACTTCTCAGCCCAACTCTGCATCCTATCAATGTCCCTTTGTAACCTAGAACATCCCTCCGCACTGTCCACAACGCGACTCACCTTCGTATCATCCGCGAACTTACTAATCCACCCTTCCACTCCCTCATCCAAATCATTTACAAAAATAGAAGAGGACCCAGAACAGATCCTTGTGGTACCACTCGTAACTGAGCACCATGTTGAATATTTTCCGTCCACTACCACCCTTTGTCTTCTAAGGGTCAGCCAATACTGAATCCAATCTGCCACATTTCCCTCTAGCCCATGCCTCCTTACCTTCTGCATGAGCCTACCATGGGGAACCTTATCAAACGCCTTACTTAAATCCATGTATACCATATCCACTGCTCTACCTTCATCCACGTGTTTGGTCACCTCTTCAAAGAATTCAATAAGGTTTGTGAGGCATGATGTACCCCTCACAAATCCATGCTGACTATCACGAATCAAACTGTGCCTTTCCAAGTGATCATAAATCCTATCTCTCAGAGCCCTTTCCAATAATTTGCCCACCACTGACGTAAGACTAACTGGCCTGTAATTTCCGGGGTTATCCCTATTGCCTTTTCTGAACAAGGGAATGATGTTTGCCTCTCTCCAATCTTCCGGCACTATACCCGTGGACAGTGAGGACGAAAAGTTCATCGCATCTTCAGCTTCTTCATCAATGACCTTCCTTCCATCATAAGGTCAGAAGTGGGGATGTTCGCTGATGATTGCACAATGTTCAGCACCATTCGTGACTCCTCAGATACTGAAGCAGTCCATGTTCACATGCAGCAAGATCTGGACAATATCCAGGCTCGGGCTGACAAGTGGCAAGTGACATTCGTGCCACACAAATGCCAGGCTATGACCATCACCAATCAAGAGACAATCTAACCACCACCCCTTGACACTCAATGGTGTTACCATCACTGAATCCCCCACTATCAACATCTTGGGGGTTACCATTGACCAGAAAATCAACTGGACTCAGCACATTAACACAGTGGCTCTTGTAGGCCAGAAGCTGGGAATACAGCAGCGAGTAACTCACCTCCTGACTCCTCAAAGCCTGGCCACCATCTACAAGGCACTAGTCAGGAGTGTGATGGAATACTCCCCACTTGCCTGGATGAGTGCAGCCCCAACAACATTCAAGAAGCTTGACACCATCCAGGACAAAGCAGCCCGCTTGATTGGGACCACATCCACAAGTATCCATTCCCTCCACCACTGTTGCTCAGTAGCAGCAGTGTGTACTATCTACAAGATGCACTGCAGAAATTCACCAAAGATCCTCAGACAGCACTTTCCAAACCCACGACCACTTCCATCTAGAAGGACAAGGGCAGCAGATACATGGGAACACCACCCCCTGCAAGTTCCCCTCCAAGCCACTCACCATCCTGACTTGGAAATACATCGCCGTTCCTTCACTGTCACTGGATCAACATCCTGGAATTCCCTCCCTCAGGGCAGCTCACCCCCACCTTCTCAAGGGGCAACTAGGGACGGGCAATAAATGCTGGGCCCAGCCAGCGATGCCAACATCCCAGGAGTGAATGAACGTGGGGTCAGTATCTGATGGTGACAGTGAGGGTGGAGACAGGTCGTATCCTGTTTCTGCAAATAGATCCTGCTGAGGTAAAGGGGGAGGGTGGGCTGGAAAGGGTGGTGCAGCTGACCTTATAATCCTCCATAAATCAGGGCAGAATGTCCACCATTACTAAACTACTGTAAAAGAATCACCACTTACCAACGCACTGCTTCATATCAACATGTAGCTGGTATCCATGGGAACAGGAGCAGATATAGGACCCATTGGTATTTGTACAGATTTGACTACAACCTGCATTCTCATCAAGACACTCATCGAAATCTGTAAAACAGAATAAACTGCTGAAAGATATTTATTCCCAGCCCCACACTGACACAGATACACACACACCCTGTCCCACACAGACTTCTTCAGTAAGTGTGTACAGGACTATGTGCCAAAGTTAATCCAAGTGTTCCCCAACTAGAGGCCACGGATGAATCCGGAGATCCACTCCCTAATGTGTTCAAATCGGGTGTCCCTGACCTAGACAAGAAATCCAGGTCCCACTTTCAGAAAGCCATCAGAGGCACAATATCAGGGAAAAGTGGAGTCCCAGACCAACTGCACAAACACACGTCAAATGCAGCAAGGCTTACATGATATAAAACAAAGTTGTGCAGAATCGCTGACAATAGTGCATCCCTCCCCGATGAGCTCAATGCATTCTATGCTCATTTTGAACTGAAGGTCAGTGAAATGACGTCACCTGCCCCCAACAGCCTCGGGTGTACCTGTACCTACAGGCCCCACCATAGACATCAGACTGACCTTCTCGAGTGTGAACCCATGGAAAGTGACTGGCCCAGATGGCCCCAACCATGCACTCAGATCCTGCACACACCAGCTGGTGGGAATATTTGCAGATATTTTTAACCTCTCCTTACTCCGATCTGAGGTTCCCACTTGCTTCAAGAAGACCACCATCATCCCAGTGCCAAAGAAAAATCAAGCAATGTGTCTTATTGACTACAGCCCAATGGCTCTGACATCCATCAATGCAAACAGCCTTGAAAGCGATCTTGTGACGGTGAGCGTGGGGGTCCAGCGCAGACTCATGGTCGCGCCGTCAGAGAGAGTCTGGGTTCCCAGCCGACTGTATCAAAGAGGCAGTCCTAATGCTGACTCATGGCTGCTGTGGCAGAGGCGTGTTTGGGTTCCTGGCAGTGGCTGTTTTATTTTCTATTCATTTGTGGGATGTGGGTGTCGCTGAATGGGCCAGCAGTTCTTACCCATTCCTAGTTGCCCCTTGAGAAGGTGGGGGTGAGCTGCCTTCTTGAACCATTGCAGTCCTCCTGCTGTGGGTTGACCCACAATGCCCTAAGGGAGGCAAATCCAGGATATTGACCCAGTGGCAGTGAAGGAATGGCGATATATTTCCGAGTCAGGTTGGTGAGTGTACTACTGCAGAGATGTCCTGGAGCTGAGATGATTGACTTCCAGCAACCACGACCATCTTCCTATGTGTCAGGGAAGACTCCAACCACCGGAGAGTTTGCCTCCTGATACCCACTGATTCCAGTTTTGCTCGGGCTCCTTGATGCCACATTTGCTTGAATGCAGCCTTGATGTCAAGGGCTGTCACTCCCACCTCACCTCTGGAATTCAGCCCTTTTGTCCATGTTTGAACCAAGTCTGTAATGAGGTCAGGAGCTGAGTGGCCCTGGCTGAACCCAAACTGGGCGTCACTGAGCAGGTTATTGCTGAGCAGGTGCTGCTTGATAGCGCTGTTACTGACACCTTCCATCACTTTACTGATGATCGAGAGGAGACCGATGGGGCAGTAACTGGCCGGGTTGGATTTGTCCTGCTTTTTGTGTACAGGACATACTTGGGCAATTTTTCACATTGTCAGGTAGATACCAGTGTTGTAGCTGTACTGGAACACCTTGGCTAAGGGAGCGGCAAGTTCTGGAGCACGTGTCTTCAGTACTATTGCTGGAATATTGTCAGGGCCTGTAGCGTTTGCAGTATCCAATGTCTCCAACCGTTTCTTGATATCACGTGGAGTGAATCGAATTGGTTGAAGACTGGTATCTGTAATGCTGAGGGCAACTGGAGGAGGCTGAGATGGATCATCCACTCGGCACTTCTGGCTGAAGATTGCTGCGAATGCTTCAGCCTTATCTTTTTCACTGATGTGCTGGGCTCTTCCATCATTGAGGATGGGGATATTTGTGAAGCCTCCACCTCGAGTGAGTTGTTTAATTGTCCACCACCATTCACGGCTGGATGTGGCAAAACTGCAGTGCTTAGATCTGATCTGTTAGTTGTGGGATCGCTTAGTCTATCGTTTGCTGCTTTCGCTGTTTGGCGTGCAAGTAATCCTGTTTGGTGGCTTCACCAGGTTGATACCTCATCTTCAGGTATGCCTGGTGCTGCTCCTGGCATGCCTCCTGCACTCTCCATTGAACCAGGGTTGATCCCCTGGCTTGATGGTAATGGTTGAGTGGGGGATATACCGGGCCATGAGGTTACAGATTGTGCTGGAGTACAATTCTGCTACTGTTGATGGCCCACAGCGCCTCATGGATGCCCAGTCTTGAGTTGCTAGATCTGTGCGAAGTCTGTCCCATTGAGCACGGTGATAGTGCCACACAACACGATGGAGGTTGTTCTCAATGTGAAGGCAGGACTTCATCTCCACAAGGACTGTGCGATGGTCACTCTTACCGTTACTGTCATGGACAGATGTATCTGCAGATTGGTAAGGATGAGGTCAGGTATGTTTTTCCCTCTTGTTGGTTCCCTCACCACCTGCCGCAGACCCAGTCTAGCAGCTATGTCCTTTAGGACCCGACCAGCTCGATCAGTAATACTGCTGCCAAACCACTCTTGGTGGTGGACATTGAAATCCCCCACCCAGAGTACATTTTGTGCCCTTGTCATCTTCAGTGCTTCCTCTAAGTGTTGTTTAACATGGAGGAATACTGATTCATCAGCTGAGGGAGGACGGTATGTGGTAATCAGCAGGAGGTTTCCTTGCCCATGTTTAACCTGAAGCCATGAGACTTCATGGGTCCAGAGTCAATGTTGAGGATTCCGACAACATCTCCCACCGGACTTTATCCCACTGTGCTGTCACTTCTGCTGGGTCTGTCCTGCCGTTGGGACAGGACGTATCCAGGGATGTTGACAGTGGTGTCTGGGACATTGTCTGTAAGGTATGCTTCCATGAGTATGACTATGTCAGGCTGTTACTTGACTAGTCTGTGAGACAGCTCTCCCACTTTTGGCACTAACCCCCAGATGTTCATGAGGAGGACTTCGCAGGGTCGACAGGGCTGGTTCTGCCATTGTCTTTTCCGGTGCCGAGGTCGATGCCAGGTGATCTGTCCAGTTTCATTTCTTTGGGACTTTGTAGTGATTGATACAAGGGAGTGGCTTGCTAGGCCATTTCAGAGGGCAGTTGAGAGTCAACCACATTGCTGTGGGTCTGGAGTCACACGTAGGCCAGACCAGGTGAGGGTGGCAGATTTCCTTCCCTGGAGGACATTAGTGAGCCAGATGGGTTTTTTCCAACAATCGGCAATGATTTCATGGTGATCAGTAGTGTCTTAGTTTCAGAGACTTTTTTAAAAATTATTGAATTCAAATTCCACCATTTGCCATGGTGGGATTTGAACCTGGGTCCCCCGAACATCAGCTGGGTTTCTGGATTAATAGTCTAGCGATAATAGCACGAGGCCATCACCTACCCTGTATCCAGCGCAGATTCCTGGTAGCAGCAGCGGAGGTGGGTTTGGGCCCAGTAAGAGACCCTGCGGCATTGGCAGTGGCTGTACCGGGGAGGTTGGCCTCAAGTGGACTCATGGCAGCAGCAGAATCAAGTTTGATCTGGTTCTGTAGCCGGCGGCACTGGTAGTATTTGCATTGGCAAGGCCCAGTGAGGACCCATAGTGGTGAGGGTCTCAGTGGAGGCGAAGCGGCGCTAAACAATGGCAACTTTCATTCCAGCGCAGTGATGGGAACTCGCACCTGGCCTCCAGGCTCATGGCATAGCATTTAATGTATATTCTGTGTTTTGGTTTATTTTTGTGTGCTTTAAGATGGCTCCAGAGGGTGGCGACATTTTACAACACTTCTCACTGCATTTTGTAACAATAAATAACAAATAAATCAAATCAAGGCTCTTAAGCAGATTGATTTAGGGAGTGAGAAGGTATTGGAGGCTTTGGTTGGTTTAAAGGTGGACAAATCCCCAGGTCCAGACGAGGTATATCCCAGGCTGCTGCGGGAGGTGAGCCAGAAAAATACAGGGGGCCTAGACTCAAAGTTTAAAATTGGGTCTGGGCAGAGGGGAGGTGCCAGAGGACTGGAGGACAGCAAATGTGGGGTGAATTTACAAGCGGATGGTAGCTGTAGACCAGGGATTTACAGACCAATGAGTCTCACACTAGTGAGAGGGAAACTACTGGAGAAAATAGTGAAGGAGAAAATTTATTTCCATTTGGAGAGACAAGGTTTGATCAGGAATAGTCAGCACGGCTTTGTCAAAGGGAGGTCATGCCAAACAAATCTGGTTGAATTTTTGAGTGTGTCAATGAGGAGAGGGCAGATGATGGAGTTTATATGGATTTCAGCAAGGCCTTTGACAAGGTCCCATATGGGACACTGATGAAGAAGGTAAAAGCTCATGGGATCCATAGTAACTTGGCAAGATGGATCTAAAATTGGCTCAGTGACAGGAGACAGAGGGTGGTGGTAGAAGGCTGTTTGCGTGACTGGTGCTCAGTGTGCAGTGGTGTACCATAGGGATCAGTGCTGGGTCTCTCATTGTTTGTGTTGTTTATAAACGATGTAGGTGAGGATATGGGTGGGGATGATAAGTAAGCTTGTGGATGACACAAAGATTGGCCGGGTGGTTGACTGTGAGGGGGGAGGTGTTAGATTACAGGAGGATATAAACAGATAGGTCAGATGGGCAGATCAGTGTCATATCGAACTTGACCCTGACAAATGTGAGGGGATGTACTCTGGAAGAGGGAACAAGACAAGGGAGTACTCAATGAATGGCAGGACACTGTTAAGAACCGAGGAACCTTGGGGTGTTTGATCACCAAGTCCTGAAGGTCATAGGACAGGTTAATAGGGTAGTTAAGAAGGCATAATGGTCACTAGTGAGGGCGATAGCCTAGTAGTATTATCGCTAGACTATTAACGTGGACACTCAGCTAATCTCCCGCCTTCACGTTGAGAATACCCTCCATCGTGTTGTGTGGCACTATCACCGTGCTCAATGGGACAGACTTCACACAGATCTAGCAACTCAAGATTGAGCA